TCCTCACACACATTTACTATAAACATATAGGGTACTAAACGAAAACACCTTTCCAACTTCACCCACTCCCCCGCAAATTATGGCTCGCCTAAGAGCGGCGGCCAATCCAAAGAAAAGATAATGAAACCATAATGCTTCGTGTAGTATAAACTTTTAATTTCCAGCTGCTTATCAAAGTGAACGAATTAGAAGGCAAGGGAAAACACGAGAATTACTAATATTAATTAACAGCACAATAACCAAAAACACAAGAAATAAAAGAAAGAAACAACAGCGGAAATAGGTCAACAAATTGCTCTGAAGGGTTCCACCGTAACCCTTCAGAGCAATTTGTTGACCTATTTGGGGGTTGGGGGCGACGGATGAAGCTAAATGTTAATTGAATTACCAGCCAAAAGAAGACGCCACAAGGTTGGGCCAAAGGTGCAAAAGAATATAAGCACCAAGACATCTACACCCCACCGCCCAAAAGCCACCCACCCACCTCGGCACAGTTCGATTTTCACTTTTCTTGGCGTATTGCAAGGGCAAGGGGCAATTATTAACTTGTGGGCCAAAACAGAAATCAATTTCGAATGCGGTAGAAGCAAATTAAAATCTATATTTATATCGTTTACACTATATGTGCATATATATGTGTGTGTGTGTATAAAAACAACAAATGAGTGGAATGCACGACGCAGCAGCGAATGCCATAAAAGCTTAAAACAACAACAACTGTAAAAACAAGAACAACATCAGGCAAAGCAAAGCGCACCATAATTTGTATACAAAAGCGGAACAGTGGAAAGGGACGGGCACGGCAATGACAGACACAGCAGCAGCAGCAGCAGCAGCCGCAGTCGCAACAGAAGGCGAAGCAGAAGTGTAGACAAGTCAATAAATGGGGCCGTGGCCAGGTGGCTGCTGCTGCTGCTAAGTTGAATAGAAGAGAATGAAACAACCCCACAGAAAAAATAATATAAAATAAAACGCACAGAGAGTCACGGATGGATGCATGGATGCATGGATGGAAGGATGAATGGATAGGTACTTGAATTTAGCCGGGTCCTAATTGGAACTTACCTGCCTGCTGCAGTCGCTGAAGCAGCTCCGTTGCATTTTATTTAAAATGCGCTCTTTTATTAATTAAATATAATTTGGCACACACGCACACGGAGGAGAGCTCAAAAGAGTATATTTAGCTGCTCCTGATCACTAATACATTGTCATCAATTGATCCGCGCTCTCTTTCGCTCTTGTACTCCAGAGAGTGAGCTTGCATGGAAAGCTGATCACTAATACAAATACATTTTCACTAATAGGTCCTCCTCTTACTATCTTTCTCGCTCTCTCTGTGTTTACTGCATCGAAATCAGGACAGCGTGTGCATAGTAGTAGCAAAAGGGGCGCTGCCTAACGAAAGTGGAACACACGACGATGCTGCTGCTGCAGCGCGGCCGGTCGCTCGGTCGGAGGGGTTAGTTTGTGTGTTTGCAAAAACAATTTACAATACGCGAAAGGTGAGCGTTGTGTTGTATTGCTTTGCGTCGCGTCGCGTCGCGTCGTTTTAGCTCTTGCTCTCACCACCTTTGGTACGTGCTGTCACCCCCGCAGCCTGAACGACAGACCAAGTCGCTGTCGCATATGGCGGCCACCTTTTGCGTTTTTCGTTTGGTCAGCGCAAATATAAAACACAGTCTGTTATTTATATGTGTGTATTGTACGATTTGCGTACGTTTTTACTTTTTGAGCACACGACGTTTTGTAGTTTTGTTTAAAATGCGTCTTTTGCATACGATATTATATTGACGACGTTTTTTGTATGTATTTGTATGCATGTGTGTATATGTATGTATGTCTGTATGTTGTGCGCCGACCGGTTTGTTTGCTACGCAGAATTTTCTTTTCCACTTTCTTTACGCCGCCCTTGCACTGTTTTTGTTATTTTTATGTTTGCTTATTAGATTCGTGTTAATTTGTATACACTGAACGTTCACTTTTTTATATTATTTACATAAAACATTCACGTTTGCCTTTCGCTTTTTATTACATTAATTATGCATATATTGCGCCAATTAGCAACGTTTATACCCGACTCGCCGTTCTCCTCGGAAGCAATAGGCAAGGAGTGCGAAGACAAAACAAAAACCACGAGAGCGGTGTGAACGTACACTGGTAACGAAAAAATCAAAAATATAAGTCAGTGCTAGTATTTTCTACACATCTTGGTCACTCCGAATATTACAAAAGTATCATCAATAGAGATGAGACGTGGGTGATAGATAATTGTAACAAACTAACATTTGTAACTGAACTTATGCAACATTTATTAAAATTTAACAAATATATGACCAGTACAAATCAGACAGAAACACACTATTTTCTAATTTCTTAAGTTTTTACAAATTTATTACACTTTGTTTCATTTTTATTACAAACAATTTGAATTTTGGTTGCTTCCTTTGCGCTCATTAAGAAAACCCATCGATACGTTAGTCTCGACCCATCGATAACAGAAAAAGAATGCAGAATATCGTTTGTGCCCAGCTCTAAGCAACAAAAACTTTAGTGAAAAGTCGGCAGAGAAATGCAACGCCAAATTAACTAAATTTGCAGCGAAAACAAATACAGAATCCCATAAAAAGTATACACAACAGGGGCACAAGGAGAGCATAGTTTACTCAAACCACTGGCGACGGAATTCAGTGACTAACGGTGGCTGCAACATTTAAATGGCCAATGGCAATGGGAACAATATCAATACGGACGATGCTGCCGCTGCTGCCAATACAGCCACAGCTGCACAGGAGCAACAGCACCTGACCGGCGATGGCAATGGAGCCTGCGGCGATGCCAAGCTGCCGGCAAGTACGCGTAGCGACAATGTCAACGACCTGGTGGCAGACTTATGGCTAAATGGCAGCGCCAGCAGCTCTAGTCGTGGTGATTACACAAATATACGGGCCACGACTGGTTCGGCGACAATGATTGCCACAGCAGCAACAGCAGCCGCAGCGCCCCCAGCTGCARCAGCAGCTGCAACAGCAACAGCGAGTGCAACAAACWGCACTAATGCCACCGCCTCCGCCTCTTCCTCATCCACATCAACATTTTCCTTCAAGCACTTTCTCAACAGCAGCGGCACAATTACAGCGCCAAGCAGCACAGTCACATCCCTTGATGCAACGGGCGGCACGAGTGCCTGCAGCAGCAGTAGCAGCGGCAGCAACACAAATGCAAGCTCAACGTCAACCGCTGCGCTACAAACGTCAACGGGCGCCAGGCCAAAGGTACCACAATCTGCATCCGTGAGCCATATGCAGCCGGATTTGAATGGCAGCGCCACCTCTAAGATGAAGCGTTCGCCACGGTTCAGCTCCTTCGACTCGCAGGCGAGTCTGGCCGAGTATGCAGCGTGTGGCGGAAGTGGCAACAGCTCCAGYTCGACACGGCTACGTCCGGATCTGCGGCTGGAGGTGGAGCGCAGTGGCATCATGCTGGATGATGATGATGACTACGAGCACTTGGGCCTAGCCCAGGTGCGGAACAGTCGCTTGTACGATGACCGCGTCGACGATGGTAAGTTGC